ATATATATATATATAATCTATATATTTTTCTATCACTTATATTACAAAAGCATTTTAAAAAGTTACATGAAATTTTCCCACAAGACGAAGAGCCAGTACTACTTAATTAACTGTAAACTCGCGTGATTCCTTCCATAAATTATTACTTCTTATTTACGCAAGTGTCTTATATGTGCAGAGTATAACGTGCTCATTACAAGTAAAATCCAAGTATTGTATAAATTAAAAATAGTCTGTAATATTCCAATTATTTGTGTAACTTGTAATGTATATGTTTAAACGATATATGAAAGCAATTTTCGCATAGGACCGGGAGGAGAAACTGAGGATATATATGTAGGTTTCATTAATGTATAGTCTGTGTAGAGTTTTTTTTCCCTTATGAGTAACGAGTATTAAATTATATAGTCAACAGAGAGAAAGAGAGAGATGCTCTATTGCGACATGGTTTTTAGGCTTGCGCCCATGTGATACACCAAATAAGGCATCTATTTCTCATTCAGTATTTTCCTTGTTATATAGTATTGTGTACAAATACAAATAATCATCTACAATATATCTCATACGTTGTTATTTATCCACAATATTAAAACTTTAACATCACTTACCTTACTATAAACTATCCTTAAGTCTGTTAATAGAACAAGAGAGGAATGTATAAACTTATTTCAGCATTAATTATAATTTTTGCTAAAAAAGCTAATAAAGGCACCGAATAAATGTATATTCATATATATACATATATAAACTTATTTATACATACACTTTTATCGAGATGAATACAAAAATTGCAGATGGAATTATCTTTGATCATAGTGTTCAATAAATATTATTTTCTATTTATATACCATATATGGTATACATATATATTATATATATATGTATATCATTAGCCAGTTTTTCTAGATGCGACTGAATTAAAGGATTTATCTTCGAATACAGACAGAAAGAAACCAAATGCAATGTACAACAAAAACGTACCTACTTATTTCCAAGTATCACAATTATTCAAGTGTACACATATATAATACATATATTATACAATCATCTATAATTTCGAGATTTGTTGCTTGTTCGTATTTACCGCGCGGCTAAAATTCGCATTTTTTTTCATATAATATGTAATAATTAAATTTTTTCAATAATTTATTTTTATAAAGAATGAGCGAAATATTAAAAAAAGTAAGAGAAAAAATTATTTTTTTAGTACATTGAAGTATTATCGTAGTGTGTGTGTGCGTGTGTCGTGCATGCGCGCGCGTTAAATAAAAACATTGACGAGCAATTAAAAATCATTAATCTTTTCTAATAATTCTTCTGAAAATTGATATTTATTCCAACGCAAATCTGTAAAAAAAATAGTCATATAGCATCATGAGTGTTTTCTTGCGTTTTCCACATAATTAACATCACATGTTTTCAATAGAGAAACTTAATTCGCTCTCTTACGTTTTCTGTTAATATCTGCTGTCGTCATAAATAACATTACTTGCTAATTAAAATAGAACATTTGTATTATATGTTTAATGTCGGATTATGTAAGAGTAGATCTAGTTGAAGAAATCTTAAAGAATCTTATCATAACGGGAAGAAAACTCAGTTTGTCGATTACATTTTCTCTCGTGATGCGAATTTTACCGCGCTTATGTACCTATATGCATTGAAATATAAGAACATTTCCTGTGAGGTAGCATATCTCTAATACGAGACATCGTTTATTTGCAATTCGATCCTCGTTACAACGAATATCGGACGCTTATACAGTTCACAAAATTACCATCATACAAAGTTTAATAATTCGATCTCCTCACTTATATGATTATATCTAATCGGTATCTGTGTAAAACTTGACATAGAACCACGTTCCTATGGCATCGCGTTTTAATTTCCACACAAATGATTGTAGGAAGGAATAATAACGCATAAAGTATCGTCATTTAGTCCCTCAGGCATTCTCGCTTTAACGAGGCCATAAACCGACATTTTAAGTTGCTCTTCCTCCGCATGAGAGTGCAAGATAAATTCGTCATAATCAGCAATTGGCAATTCGATTGATGCATTCCATTGCATCAAATAATTTTGCTTCTAATAACGTAAATATATTGCATTAAGATAGACTTTTTTAGACGATTACAATTCAATGACATCTTATATACGACTCTCTTTTGTTAATATTATATTATTATACACAAATGCGAATTAAAATCAAGTTGAATTAAAATGATGCAAAAGACTGCGTAATTAGAATGCTAAGAGCTCTAAGTATATATCTGAAAGAGACAAATAGAAAGGAACTATTTACAGAGCGTACTTATGACCAAAATAATACACGTTAATGTTATATGATGCAGACGTCTTTCTATCTTACTCTAATTATCTTTTTTTCATTATTGTTGCTACTTAAACGAAGATCCATTCGAGATCCAGATACTGGTGATATTGATACATTCGAAAGACTATTTACAGAGATGTACACTAATAATACTAAATTAAAATCTAAATATTTTGTGACTGAACAATTTAAAATATTTTTGGCCGATTGATTCTTACGTAATATTATTCATCCTAGATTTACCGATCTGTCGCATCTCTTGGCACTACGTGCTGCATGATCCATGTATGTGCGGCCGTAATAATCTAAAAATAAGCAGACGGCAACAAGAGCAAGGATCACAGTAAGCACGATACCAAGCTCTATTTATAATATGAGATCGGTGATATCTTTTTTCGAAAGATCGCTCTATCAGTGGCAGTCAAATCGACTGCATCTTCGTTTAATTATCTCAGGCGTTCTATTAAATATGACGTGTACGACAACTTTAACAATCTCAATTTAATGAAATTAATCTATCCCTATTTGTATATAAGTAATATAAATAATTTTTTAATATAATTTCTAAATGTCTATAACATAAAAAGAATACATAAAAGAAGTAAGGATATTCTCAATATAGATTGAATTCTTCTTACTTATACATGATACTATGATGTAAGATCACGTTACATCGTACATGATATACACTAATCAGATATCCTCTCTGTATTTCTCTATATATATGAATAATTATTTACAATTAACTTAGGTTATAATATGTGGAACGTTCGTAATTGAGAAGTTCCGTACAATCTCGTTATAGACTTTCTCGAACACGTCACAAAAGAAACATTAGATACTTTCATATCACATACTGGCCAAAAGTATGATTAATATTATATATCATCTAATGCTCGTCTCCGTACATTCGAAAATCACAATATCTGCGACGTCATCAAAAAAACGACCTACAAAAATGATCGTTTTGAGTCATTGCATTCGCTCAGTAATATGTAACGAGAGAGCAAAGTTAAACACACAGATACAACAAAATATCCAGAGGTCTTTCAATAATCCTATAATAATTCTACTTAGCAGCCTTTCTTTATGCTAAATAAAATATAAATACCATAAAATCATGGAGTTGCTAGAGTTAATAGATAAAAAACTAATTGAGCGCGTGAAAGCTCTGTCATAAGATTGGCAAAGGAACTTTCAACCTCCTATATATCGCCAAGTCACTCTGACACAGATGACTAAAGACGCAGATCAATTATCGTACACGACCAATTTTTAATAGAATGGATGCCCGTAAATTGATCGCTAGTAACGCGAGATAAATGTGCTCGCTCACATATAAAAATATCAGCAAAAATACGTCCTCAATAATTTAGATTTGTGGTGTCGTCAATTATTTACATTTATTTAAATTATACATATATATAATTATTATATGTATATATAGGATGTGTATGTATATATATATGTATATATAATTTAATTATATATATTGTATATATATGTGCACACATATACGTACTTATTTATACTTATAATTTTGTCATTTTTTGTCGCACGTGATATAGTACTCTATAAATCGCATACGCGTCAATCTCGCAAGTTTATACATATGCATTATTTAGTCCGTATCCGCAAATAGCACTAGCGGTCTTCATTTTTGCTACTATTTTCCTTTCTGCCAATCAATTCGTCATTATAACATACTTCATTATAAAATTGCTTCCCGTAAGTCATTATAACGCTGACATATTCATAAAAACGTACGCACTTTCTCATCGCCGCAAAAAAAGTTTTGTTCTGGTATACGTAACATTGTGCAAAATTGATATTCATACATACAATTATTTTTGTAGATATATATGGCACCGTAGGTTTTAACTTTACGCTTAAATAGTCGTTCAGTGTCGGTTCCAAGCTCGTGAAAATTATCCTTAAAAATAATAATATTAAAACTACCTCGGTAAACATTGCAGCATATCAAATATAATATCGAAGCTGACAACGTATACGTTTTCCTTCCTTTAAATGAATCCTGCTTAAAAAGGCATTGTGGAGCTCCTGCATGATAGTACCTTCCGGTAAATTCAATAAATAATTTACGAGACTCCATTACACTCTTTTATCTAATATTCCACTAAATTGAAACTAAATCCCCCAGTCGATCGCAGGAGTAGGCCATTTCACATACCTACACAACGTACATACAGACACATACACACACGCACACGCATTTTCTTTATCCTAATTTTTAAATACATATAAATCTACTCCTGCTTCTTCCTTATTTCAACTCTGCATTAAGCCCAATGGAACTAGAATCAAATAAACAGCTTAAGATCCTGCACGATCGTTGATCCTGTCATCATTCGGTTTTGTAAGCTGGAAGACCTTGTCAAAGCTTCACGTTACATTCCATCTTCGAACGTATTTGCATTCTCTCCCTAATAGACGCTCTTCCATCTCCATTTACTATTCTGCGCTGATTATTCTTCTCTTGTGAGTGTATTTTTCTGTATTAGCGTTTCGGAACTTCTCTTCATCCTGACATCGTCGTTCCGTATCCATCCTGCCAACTGTTCATTTTCTTTTTTCTCCTACATGTGTGCGCGTATTTACTTTTGCTTTCACTAGTCATGTAACAAGTCGATATTCGGTCTAGACAACGAACGGTCATCAATCGTTGTTCATATCTTTTAATTCGGTATACGCGATTCGTTTTCGATACAAATTGCTACCGCTCGACAGTACATTCCTCTTGTTCGGCATCGTCGATGGACCGGGCGTGTAATAATGTCGTCTTTTGTACATGACCATCCTGTGAAAAAAAAAACTAGTTAAAATACCTGTACGGTGATTAGTTTCTTACAAAAAGATATATATATTAAACGAAGGTGGTGCGTTCATTTCATTTTTATAATTATAACTTATTATAATTAACAATATTGTCAACCACTTATGATTATGAAAAAGTAATACGATATTAACAGTCTTTGATCTATCATCATCCATTTACGTGCATTGTTTTGTTGTAACTCTGTGATCAGATTTCGATTACGATTATTATAATTAATAATTATAATTATATTGGAAATATCAAAATTTTCTGTATAAAGGTGCTGTGTGTAGTTAATTCTTTTAAATATCAAGTAGATATACGTGGTATTTTCTTGCATCACCTCTCTTTTGGTTTAAAAAAATATAATTTATTAAAAACAATTTACAAAAAAAATTTACTTCTATTTCAAAACGTTAATTTAATTGCATTCCAAACACAGATTTTCTTTAAAAATTTTTTTTTTCACAGAAGCGATCTCACTTTCACATTTTTATCACGATCGAAAAAAAATTGATCACAATTCTTTTTCTTCTTAATTTATTTTATCAATAAACTAGGTAATATCTTTCACTCTCGAAAATAATTCCTTTACCTACGCGGTATACTGCGCAATGTCTGTTCGTCTTCGCATCTTTATCAACACGAATAACTCGGTATGTATATGGGATTACCGCATTTTATCAGTACAATCGCAAGTCAGTCCTTGAGCACGATCTAACGCTGGCAGGAATTTGCGCAAAAAGTCTGAATGGTAAATGTAGTTACGTCTACATCACGTATTGTTCACTGACGGCCATTCGTTTCCTCCTCTTTCTCTGCACTAGCACGTGTGCTGGTGTTGGCAATTGTATCGGTACATTCACGGGAGATACTGATAGCTATATATACAGCTAGTAGCTTCATTACACCTATCGCAGTAACGTCGAAACCACGGCTACGTATTCTTTTGTGCAATGGTGCACGTATATCCAAAGTGTCTAAAAATTCGCGTTATTCTAAAGGCAAGAAATATTTTATGGGTATATAGTTCCTCTCTCCAAGAAAAATTATTCCATATATTCAATTTTGCGAAGCCTGAAGTCTAAATACTTCATTTAAATCGTAATTGAGATCTTTACTAGATACTCATAAGTAAATAAAATATTAACGATTTAAAAATTTAATCATTTTAAAATACGTATAAATTTTTCCCCGGTTGAAATTATGAGTCTCTTAATTCAAGAGAAAAAAAACTTGATTCTGCAAAGAAATATATGTCTATACACTTGAAAATTTTCATGTGCAAATTAAATTATTTTTTAAAGAGAAACGTCTTTTAATACTTCTTTGCCTTCTGGTACGCACATTTTGGGTCACCCTGTATAATCATCATAACTCGGCTGTTATCTACGTAATTACTATTGATGGTACACTAAGCACTATCAAAGGTGCGCGAAAACTTCCATTCGCGGTGCAATAATAATTATTGCTATAACAAAAGGCTCTTCGAATGCCATCTAACGAAAGGAATATCCTTGTATGCAAATTGACAATGCATTCTTATGCAAACATTTAAAAATACACATCTGTATTCTTTAATTACACTTAAAAAAAACAAATACAAATTACTCATACATAATTACGTTTAATTTCTGATATCATGTTAATACCGGAAAATACTGGTTTAACGAATTCATCTCGTAAATACAATTCCTTCACAACTGATTCTTGACAAATCCGGTTGCACATTAGGCGCAGACTTACCAAATAGAACAAAGGAGCGTATTTATCTGATCTAGTTTCGACGAATATATCTGGAATATTTCTTTTTTTTTTAGTAATTACTTTTTACGGATATATTACAGAATATCGTAAACGGCTGCATGCAATACTCGGTACATCGCAGGATGGGTTTATATATATAGAGACATTCGATTTATTTATTTTATTAAAGTTAAGGTACAGGGAGTTGGACTTGGATGTAGGGAGAGCACGCATAACACATTACTCTTCGCACAAATAGCTATGGAAAAAGAAGAAATGATATCCAATTAATAAAAACAATTACCTCGTGTATTGTTATGTAAGTAATTACAACTGAAAAAGAAAATGTGTAATACTATTCGGGGCAAGACAAACGCGATATTTCTGTACACATTTACTCATGCGTTATTAAATGTCGCTTGGCTATAATAAAATTCTAAAAGGTGGCGGTATTTCTTCTGGAATAGAAACGTAAAATAATTGACGGATAATTCATTAATGCTGCTTGCGCGTTAATTAATAATTTTACAATTAAATAAATTGTCAAGGTGTGTCAGTATTTAAATGTATATGTAATTGTATTTTTGTATTAGAGATCCCAATATTTTATAAATAAACCATCTTAAACAACTATATAATAAATTTTTTGAAAAATATGTTTCTCAAACTTTTTATATTCTTTATTTTCCTTTAGAATCTATTCAACAGATTCGACGAATGCAGACATATAAATTTTCGAAATCATAGCTCTAATATTTTGCTCCAATATTTATAAGTATATTGCGTATATGTCGAGGTCACTGAATTACTACAAGGGGAATGATTGTCGCGAATGGGCAAGAGAGGTTTATAAAATATAGAGGCGGCAATTCGTGAATTGAAAGCAAACTATCTGCATCGTTATAACTGTCAACCGTCAACGGTCGTTTGTTCATTGTCCATCATCTCGCGCTTTCCTCAACTCGTTTAATATTTCGTATTATCCGCCCGTTTTAGATTCAAGCTATACATGAGGCACTCTCCGAGTAACGACGAAGATTAGAGGAGTAATTTTGGCGACGCCCAGCCTTCACGTATCGTTATTCCGACTCATAAAAATAAGATGGTTAGGCGCCGTACGCATAACTGACTAGATGAGTCCACTCATCTCTCAGGAGAGAAAGAGAGAGAGAGGGAGAGAGAGAGAGAGAGAGAGAGAGAGAGAGAGAGAGAGAGAGAGA